TCAAATAAATAAATTAAATATTTAGAAAAATACATATATATATATAATATCACTCTGGCCACTAATGTAAAGAGACTGGAGTGGGACAGGGGAAGATGGGGAAATCCTACCCACTTCAAGATAAGAGAACAGAGGGGCTAGGCTTAGTGGTGGCAGGGGAAGCCATTAGCAGTGGTGGGATTCAAGCTCTGTCTTGAAGGTGGCAGACAGGACTAATGAAAGTAGGCCGTGGAGTGGGAGGTGTGGGAAGAGTGAGATCAAGGACAACTCCTAGGTTGGCCATTACTGGAGAGAACAGAGGAGATGGGTTGGGTGCGGAAAGAGCTTTTGCATAAGTCCAGTGTGAGATGCCTGTAAGACGGACCAGTGGAGATGTTGAGTGGACTTCTGATCTGTGAGTCTGAGGCTCGAGGAGAACTGCAAGAGATGGTGGAATCAGATGGCTGCGTATTTAAATACAATACAGCAACCTTTTTTTTTTCTAAGTATAGCTGACACATAATGTGCAGCAGCATGTGAGTGGACAAGTCTACACGTCACGCTGTGCTCCCCCCAAGCATGGCTACCATCTGTCACTGCAGAGCGTTGTTACAATACCGTTGACTATATTCCCTCTGCTCTACCATCCCCGAAACTTACTCATTCCATAACTGGAAGCCCAATACACTTTGGGCTCCCAGTTTTCCAAAAACTGTGCTCCACACCTCAAGACAATCTTCCAGGTATGAATAAGGGAAAATAAAATGTAACTTTAAAAGACTGATAAGCACAGCACAACTCATAATTTTAAAACCTTTTCATCAGATTATCTTCATTGATTCAAATTTTTAAAGTAATTTAATCAGCAATCACTTAACCTGTTTCTATAATTTCAGGCAAAGCAAGTTTAATACCAAAAGAAGGAGAGTGGGATTTTTTAAAATACTTGTTTTTATTTGACTTGGAATGTTTAGTGCAAAGCTGTGGGCCTTATTGCTCCTAGTTAGGACAGGCTTATAGGTAATTAAAAACATCTGGCATATAAAATATAGATTTACTTGACCTGTAGGGTTGCTAGACAAAATAAAAGACCAGTTAAGATTGAATTTCAGATGAACAGTGCATAATTTTTTAGTATAAGTACATCCCATACAATATTTGGGATATACTTATAATCTAAAAGCATTTCTTGTTTGTCTGGAACAAATTTAACTGGATGTCCTGTATGGTTATTTGCTAAATCTGACAACTCTCCCTACCTGAAATTATCAAAGTTCTATGACCAACACCACTTCTTGCTTCTTTGAACTCCAAACCAAGAAAATAAACATCTATTTGCCATCTATATGCTGGTTCTCTCAAGGATACTACGATCTATTTCTCTAGCTATCTAGACAGGCAGAAAACAGATACATGGAATTCTTGAGGCCTTGCTGCCAGGCTTTTGCATGATTTTGCTTATTTTGTTTTGCTTTGGAGGAAGACAAACCACCAAACAGAGAAAAATAATATATGTACCCGGCAATTTGTAGGTACCAGAGTCAAGGGATCTAATAACGTATTCCAGTCTGTCTCAGATTAATTGCATAATAACCTCTGCTTCAGCCTTCTCACCTGAAAAATATGGAAAATATCTTTGCCCAATGCTCCTCACTAGAGTCTTTGAAATTGCACCGAGCTGATGTACTTTTTGTTCCTTCGGAGATGGAGGGAGCTGTAGTTCTCTACAATTTTTGATAGAATATTTATTAACATCCAAAAACTACAACCAGATACAAAAACAAAGATAGGCACGCTTTTTTTTGGGGGGGGGGCAAAAAGATAATAATGAAATTAAAGGTTTAAAATAGAAATTTTAGTCAAAATATGAAAAGAGATGATTCTGAAACATGATAGTATCATTTTAAAGTTCATTTAAAATAACAAATGAGAATTCAACTATATTTCTTTATTTTTTTAAAGATTTTATTTATTTGTTTGAGAGAGAGAGAGAGAGCATGAGCGGGGGCAGGGGGAGTGGGAGAGGGAGAAGCAGACTCCCTGCTGAGCAGGGAGCCCGATGGGGGGCTCAATTCTGGGACCCTGGGATCAAGACCTGAGCCGAAGGCAGATGCTTAACCAACTGAGCCACCCAGGCGCCCCTTAACTATATGTCTTTAAAAAGAGAAATAACCAAAAAAGTGCCTAGCAGATATTAAAACATAAATATACAAAGAGTTAACATAGAATGGTATCAATGCAAAAAGCAGACATAGAGATGAAGTGAATAGAGAGCCCAGAAACCTGTTTTTACTCACAAGTCAATAGTAAGGGGAAAAGTATTCTATGCATAGTGTTAGAAGAGTGGTTGTTTGCAAAACAATTCAATTTAGAACCCTTACCTCACACCATACACCAAACTAAGTTCTCAGATCCAGCTGGAGAGGAAGAACAAATACAAGAAAACAGCAAATACTCACCTAATCTTCAGTGAAGGGAGGTTTGCCTAATCTATAAAACAGATGGAGGAAATCACAAAATTTTTAAAAAATAGATTTGACTACCTAAAAATAAAATCTTTGGTAGCTTTAGAAAGCAATTGATAGAAGTATTTCAATCTTGGATAAAGGTTAGCATCTCATAAAGTATGTCTACAAACCAAAAATAAACTTGATAAATACCAGAACAATATGTAGATACAAATGGGCAAAAGATACAAACAATTCATAGAGGAAAAAAAGGAAGTGAATTAATAAATACTTGAGAAAACACTCAACCATGTTAATTATCAAGTCAATATAATTTAAAAGATTCTACCATTTTTTCCCCTAAAATCAGTAAAAGTTGTCATTTTTTAATGATACTCAATGTTGGTGAGAGTGTCTGATGCATTCCTGCACAATGCTGGCTGCTTGTGATTGGAATGACACGTTTGGAAGTGTGGAAGTGGACAATAGGTGCCAAGAATTTTTCAATGTTCATATTCTTTTGATCTAGTAATTTGATTAGAATTATCTTAGATTTTACTAGATTATCCTAATCCTAAATTTGAGGGATTTGTCCTAACGAAATTGTCCTTTTAAAAAATGCATCACAGATTTAAAAGATGTTCATCGGTCTTTTAAATATTTTAAAAATTGAAGACAATATGGAAATGATAAGGCAAATTGTGGCACAACTACTCAATGGAATGTTTTATGGCCATTTCAGATGTTTCTATGGCACAGAAAATGTTTATGCTATAACAGAGATTGCAAAAACAGTCAAGGTTCAAAATTGCATTTGAAATATAACTGCAATTATGTAAAAGAAATCTAAGTACAGAAACGACTGGAACAAAAAATAACATGCTAACCATGGTTATCTTTTTATGGAGCATCACCTGTGGCTACTTTCTCATTCTTTTTTTTATTTTTGTTCTCCATATTAAGAATTCTCAATTGTGGAAAAATGTGTAATAAAAAATTTAACATCTGTGCATATATGTGTGTGTGTGTCCCTGTATGTGCATATATCTGTGTGTGTGTGTGTACGTGTGTATATGCAAACCCGCATGATCTCTTCTGTGTGCAGGTCCTTTGGAGTGCTGCTGTGGGAAATATTTTCTCTTGGGTACATGCCATACCCCAGCAAAAGCAACCAGGAAGTTCTGGAGTTCGTCACCAGCGGAGGACGGATGGACCCACCTAAGAACTGCCCTGGGCCTGTGTATGACTCTTTTAGGCACATTTCTACGAGTTGCTAAGGACAGTTTTTCTTTTCAAAAAATATTGCAGCCACACATGCTTTTTTTTAAGATGGAGGGGCAAATAGATGGCTGACCTCCTTCAATATGCCCCAGGATAGGAGTGTGTCTGTGACTTCAGTGAGGTGGGTTAGTCTTCTGGCCCCTCAAAAGTAGTGATGTCATGCCTGAAAAGTTATCCTCTGTCTGGCTGGAGACTGTGGACCCACCAGGCTCACACTCCTCAACACCTCCTAGGAGTCTGTGTCCCGAACTCCCCCCTCCACCGTGCTGCCCTGCACCATCTGTCTTAAGTCTCCTTTGACTATTTCCATTCCCCGCATTTTCTGCTGTCCTGTCTGGCATCCCTCACCTCCTTCCCACAAGCAAGGCAGATGGGAAATAAAATTAGAATATTCTTCCCCAGAGGTGCCTTTAATTCAGAAATGGAATGAGAGGAGCCATATTTCACGTAAACACCAGGATGTCTGTTAAGGAGCTTTGGGGTTCTAATACCTTCGCACCTGGGCACCATTCCTTGGCCCATCAGCAGAGGGCAGCAGATGCCAACCACATGGGACCTAGCTGAGTTGTCACTCTCCAAGACGGTGCCACCTTCTGGTCCCCCTTAGAGAAGTGCTGGGGAAAAGGTATTCACCCCTCTTTCTCTTGGTTTTAATTAGCGTTTTTACTCTTCTTTTAGATACCGGATAATGACCCAGTGCTGGCAACATCAGCCTGAAGATAGGCCCAACTTTGCCATAATTTTGGAGAGGATTGAATACTGCACCCAGGTATAAGCATTTTCCCCCTTGACCAGCATTTATATGAAAAAGATGGCAAATACCAAACTATGAAATGGAAGTTAAGCCAGCCAGAAAATAGGAGTTATTAACGATCACGAGAATGACTGTTGATCTATGAAGTAAGCTGACTGGTACCTCAGTTTTGTAAATAAATGCAGGTCACTGCCTCTTCCTTCGCCGGCACATGACGCAGCTGCAGACACCCAATACTATTAGGGGATAATTCAACTCACAAGTATGAACTAAATCCGTCCCCGTTTTGTAAATAAATGCGGGTCACTGCCTCTTCCTTCGCCGGCACATGACGCAGCTGCAGACACCCAATACTATTAGGGGATCAATTCAACTCACAAGTATGAACTAAATCCGTCCCTGTCCTGGGTAACTAATGGTTTTTTAGACAAAACTGGAGCTCCAGAGAAGTGTGGGAAACACGTGTTCTCAAATAGCTTATAGCGTGGCTAGAGAAATAATAATGTGAAATAATTAACAGTACGTAATTGTAAAATTGGGTGCCCAGTGATAACCACTAGAGGGATTCAAGGAAGGAACAAAGCTGGAGAAATGTGAACATCATCAATAACATTAGTACAGCATCTGTAATACACAAATCACCTTTCTTGTTTTTCATTTTATCCTCAGTGAGGTACATAAAATATCCCCATTTTCCAGATGAATTGAGGCGTGGAGGTTTTCCAAGCCGCGCAGTTTCCTGGCCGCACCGCTGGCCCCCATGCGGATCCTTCTCCCATTTCCTTCAGAAAGGACTCTAAATTTTCCCTTTCTAAAACGCTATTTTAGCAGACCCTGCCTCCTACCTCAAGAGAGGAGAGGCTGAGAATTCATTCCCTCCCCGCCCCATCTGTGCATGAACACCAGTTCCCAGCTCCCTCCCCACATGTCAGTGGAGGGGGCGGCCCCCCTCCCTCAGAGGAGGCCCTCAGGGGCACTCCCTCCCTCCGGCAGTGTCTCCTCTCCACACATCTGCTTCCTTCCCTTTCTCAGCTCTCATTCTGCCAGGATATGTAACTCTGGAGAATATTTCAGAAGTCGGACAATGAACCACTAACTCCCTAACTCGCCTCATCTTGGTTGTGACAGAAGCCATGTACATGTTGAAGCCACCTCGTTCATTCCTAACACCACCGTCCCACCCTTCCACTCCTTCAGCTCAGAAGGGAGGGGACTGGCCTTTATCTGGCTAGACTTCACTGATCCAATTCTGTGGGGTTCTTTCAGAAAACTTGCTGTCCAATGAATGGCATTTTAGGTTATTATGTTGTAATACTAATGGAATATTAGTATATTCCACTCAACTATATATACTTTGGAGTAATTCTTCTCCCAAGCATATAACATCCCTCTTAAAAGACGGTAATTCTGTACAAGCATGTTTTGAATGACTCCCCATAGAGAATGAATAAATAACCAGGAAGGATCTAAAGAATAAGAGAATCAGAAGGTAGTTGTTTGTATTCTTATACTCTTTTTATTGATGAATCCTGGACCAACATGTTCTTCTGCTACACTGAAGCAATGGTTTTCCCAATTTGCACAAAATATTAAAGAATTAAATTCCCCCAAGTTTAAGTTTCCTTCCACAGATTTTCTTCAAATCTCTGGCAACTGCTTCTGCTTTTCTGTATTACCATTCACTGCTGTAAAAATGATCTAGCACAGAGCTGGTTTTGTGAGTGGTGTTCCTCATGGCACTGCAGTTCTTTCTGGGCTTGACAAAGGGCCCGGTCAGATCCAGACCAGATCAAGAACCACTGTGCTATGTGCACACAGAATGGCACGATGATGTAACACAGGAAACGTCATCATCAAGTGCAGCCCATCCAATTATGATGAAAGTGGAAGGTGGCTAGGAAGAGAAGAGGTAGACCTTGTGAGCCAACAGAGCGTGTGTCTCTCCTCCCCTCCCCTTGTCCTGCGTGCGCGTGCGTGCACACACACACCTGAAGTCACAGATTTTTCTTTTCAGCAGAAGGGATTTTTTGGGGAATGGACTGGAATAATTTTTCTAAATCCATGAATCTCTAAGATTTGCCCAAAGGTGGTGTCTGGAAAGCCACTCCCCTGCATCAGACACCTCTAAACAAGTGTTTACCCTCCAAGCTCTTCAAGGATGACGATGACCTCCCATTTTCATCTCCTATTCCCCGGGGCCTATGAATTAATATATTCCCAATAAACACTGAGTGGTCTCCTCATCTGGAAAATAAGTCCGGATGAGGCCATCGCTAAGGTATCTTCCAGACCCAACAATTTTGGTCTATGATTCAACATCTTAATCGGTTCATTTCTCCCGCCTGTAGGACCCAGATGTGATCAACACGGCTTTGCCCATAGAGTATGGCCCACTCGTGGAAGAGGAGGAGAAGGTGCCCATGAGGCCCCAAGACCCGGAAGGTATTCCTCCTCTCCTCGTCTCTCCTCCACAAGCCAAACGGGAGGAAGGACAGGATCCCGCTGCCCCGCCCCCCCTGCCTTCCACTTCCTCGGGCAAAGCCGTGAAGAAGCCCACGGCGGCGGCGCTCTCCGTTCGAGTCCCAAGAGGGCCAGCCGTGGAAGGAGGACACGTTAATATGGCATTCTCCCAGTCCAACCCACCATCAGAGCTGCACAAAGTCCAAGGATCCAGAAACAAACCGACCAGCCTCTGGAACCCAACGTATGGGTCATGGTTTACAGAGAAACCCACCAAAAAGAACAATCCTCCAGCAAAGAAGGAGCACCAGGAGAGGGGAAATCTGGGGCGTGAGGGAAGCTGTACTGTCCCACCTAACGTGGCACCTGGCCGACTCCCGGGTGCCTCTCTGCTCCTAGAGCCATCCTCGCTGACTGCCAACATGAAGGAAGTGCCTCTGTTCAGGCTGCGCCACTTCCCGTGTGGAAACGTCAACTATGGCTACCAGCAGCAGGGCTTACCATTGGAGGCCACCTCTGGCCCCGGGACTGGTCATTATGAGGACACCCTTCTGAAACACCAGCCTGGGCCCTGAGCCCCCCTGGCCCTCGTTTCTCTTCCTTGGGAAGCCTGAGCCCACGGAGGAGGGCCAGGTCATGGCTCCAGAGACCAAATGTCACTTTTCATTCTGTGCCAGCTTGTTTTGAAGTGCCCCATACACAGCTCTATTTTTCAAAAATGCTTTAGAAAAAGGTTTTGAGCATGGGTTCATCTTATTCTTTCAAAAGAAGAAAACATCGTAGAGACAAGTGATAACTGCAAGGCCCCGATTGAGTTGCAGAAGATTTTTTTGTGCATGGTTGACATCCACGTCCTCCTGCTCACTCACATTGCGTGTGCTCTGCTCAACGCGGTCAGCATTAGCTGCTCATGTGGCTCCGAGTTGGAGTCACAGGTGTTTCCTGACCTTGCAGGTGTGGACCCGGACCACTTGAAGCGGGGAGGAAACAGAAATAAAGGAGTTACTTTCAGGAGCCGGCATGGGGAAAGACGCTCTTTACTGGGAAACGAGACATCACAGACAACTAGCTGAAATGTCCCTTTAGGTGATGTCTGGATGCTTCCGATTGTGCCGATTCGCTGATGATTGTAAACATGTGATGAATAGTTACGGTGCGATAGAGAAAATGCGCATATACTCATCTGAACGAAAAGCAGATATTCAGCGTACTCTGAGTATGATAAAGACACAGTCCGTCCAGATCCAGAGATTCAAACATCCTGTCAATATACCTCATGCCTTAAGAAAACCCTCCTACTAAAGGGGGCCTGAGTGCGAGGTTTCCTGCCGGACTGAAAGCTCGAGATTTGAATTCTTACTTAATTTAAAACTTCCCACTAATTAAAATCAACTCTGATCATTTAAAAGCAAAATTTGTAAGCAGCAGTGATACATCGAAGCCTAGACACATGCCCCTTCATGGGCCTAGGTGTCGATACGTCCCAGGCCCAAACCTTCCAGCAGTTTCCATCACGAAGGTTAAGCACAGGGACGTTTCCACCTGCAGTGGCAGGCGGGTCACTGGACGCCCAGGCCCTCGGTGGTCCTGAGAGGTGCAGCGTCCACCCTTCCAGTGTCCATCTACCTTCATCCTCCTGCAGCATGTGATCCCAGCGTACATGGGAACACTGATTTGCTCACATAGGCACGACATCCTTGGTATAGCTCCCAAATACAGATGGAAACAGGACTCCCCCTCTGGGTGGCAAAGGAACAGCGGGGCACTGGCGTGTGGAGATGGACATTGCCACGTGATAGTGGGGGCTCCGAACTTGGGTTTTCACAGATGACATTGATTTCCATGAAAACGAACTGCGAATGGGTTAAGTTTTCCACACACGTACTTGGGCAATAATGCTTTATCAGTGACCTTTCATTTCATTCTTTCTTTCTGCTTCTCCTCCATTCCTTTGCTCAGCTGCTTTCCTGGTGGGGGCTGTGCCGAAACATTGCTTTGGGAGGACAGCATTTTTCCATGACTTGATAGGCTCTAAGCATCCCCAAGTGCTTTGAGGATCTCCACCTTCTCCCCCGCCTCCTCACTCTCCCCTAGGTCACAAGTATCGCTGTAGATGTGGAAAAGCCATTCTGATCCAGGCCAACACTAGACAAGTGTCCATTCTGTTTGAGGCAGATGCCTCGCCCTGGTTGGGGGTCCTGCACATCTGTAGAAGCACTCATACCCTGGACACCACTTTTCCTTTATCCTAACTGCCAAAAATATTCTCCCCAGACCACAGATGATGCTGAAACATCAACGAACTCATCTCTAAATAACCGTATCAGTAAAGTTTTGGCTCATGCCAGGTGCAAAAGTAAATAGTCTAATTATATAATCTAATTCATAAACCACTAGCAGGGCCCAAGAATGATACATTGAGAAGCTCTCTCCTAAAGGATAATGACAGAGGAGCTGACAAGAACTGAGAAGAACAATTTCATTTTATATCTGTAACACCAGTAACCAGTTAAACAGGGAGCATGCTACATGGTGAAATAGCCAACTCTTTATTGTCATTAATGGGGAAAAAAATCGTATCCCTTCCTCTTCTTAGAAACTACAAATCCATTACATTTTCAGGTTGTGCCTTACTACCACTGAGTTTGATTTGCTGATTCTAATTGTCTTCATTGGTATCAATTTTCATGTAAATGATAGTCAAGTCTTAAAAGCCTGTATACATGGATAAGTAAATAAACAACTCCACACTGAGATATCACGACCTCAAGATGTTTCATTTAATTCGCTGTAAGCCCTGGGTATCACCAGGACATTAACCTGGACTATTGTCCACTCGGTCATGCTCTAGCCATATGGCTGTGGCAATTCGTGTAGATGCTGTGGATGCTCTTATATATTAACTCTGACAGAAGAGTCCTACCTAGAGCATGAACAGGCACAATTAGAGTTTATAGAAGCCATGTTAATGAAACCATAAGCTAGAATAATGATTTATATTCCATGTCTATAAAGAAGCTCATCAAAAGTGCACAACTGTACCACTGGGAAATCGGCAATTTGTAAGGAAATGACCAGTTTAATATGTGGCAACTCAAAATTATAGCAAATTTCAAAAGGGTGGGAATAAGCTTAATATTTCTTAAAGATTATGATCTACTCAGTGGTCAAAAGACTGGATTCTCTCCCACCAGTTAGGTTGTGAGTCCTGGCTCTCCTTGGGGTATCAGACCTGGCCTGGCTGTCCCTGTCTCCATGTACAATGAGGAGAATGGCTTCCTTTCCTCACAGCCCCTCGGGGAGATTACAATCTGTGTCTAAGAACAAGCACTCCTTTGTACACCCCTTCAATTCCCAAGTGATTTGGGCTAGGTGTGGGGGAGAATTTCAAAAGTCAGAATGTGCCTAAACACCCCTGCCTCTCTACCACCAAAGCACCATGTTTGATTTCATCTGTCACTTGTGTAATCACAGGAACAAGAACCCTACCAGCACCCAGTCCTTTTTAGCTCAAAAGAATGTAAAGACTCTACCACACTTAGAACTGTTTAAATGTTAAAAATAAACATCACAGAAAGGAAGGTAATCAGCTTGAGTAATTAAAAAAAAAAAAACTCTGGCATCTTCATATAATACTTGGCAAACTCTCTAGCTGTAAGTTATTATGTAACTGTAGGTTACCTTTACTCCACTAAGAAATTCTAAGTGATCAGGCTAGTTTAATATAAGATTTTCTCCAACAATAGCAAGATTCACATTCACATGAGCTTTGGAGACCTAAAAACAAGATGCACATGAATTCAGACTATCCTTGATAACAGACTCCCTATGACAAGATTCACAAAACCATATGAAGTGTGTTGTCAATCTGTCTTTAGCTAATGACTTTCTAAATGGGTCCCCAAAGAACATACAATTTGACTTTCCTAAGTTCATTGCAGCAGATGGTTCCCCATGTTGTGTGAACAGGCAAAACAAAACCCAGCATTCCCGTAATCCTCCACAGGATGCCCTAAAATAAAAGAGAATTATTGAGAACAAACAGTAAGGCTTCTATTAAGATTCTTTTTTCCTTTCATACTCTGAGCAGGTGTATTTAATTTTTAATGAACGACTCAAGTACGAAGCTATTTTTAGTTCTAACTTTAAAACACTGGAAAAGCTCAGTGTAAGAACAGACTATTACATGCAGCGGTGGGGGGAAGGAACATGAACTACAACCACAAAACTAAAGCAATGACTTCCCCGTCTTCGGTATTCAGTTAACGTAGAATGAGTGCGCTACCCTTCCCCGTAAAGACGGCACAACCAGGCCGACCTCGGGAAGCCTGCAAGCACCAAAGTCCGTATGCATTGCTGGCCCCGCGTCCACTTCTCAGAGGCCCCTGTTCCACACTCGCCAGCTATCTCCCTACTCCATCCATCTACCAAGGCTCCTGCCTTCTTGAAAGCAATTACCGTTATTTATCCTGCCCTCACTCAAATGCTCGTTCATAGGCACGTGGCAGCTGGTATATATTAGATTGAAAGGCAGTCTTATTAAATGAACTCCCTCGAAGCCTCAGCAACTAGTGTATGTTAATAGCCTCTAGAATATTTACGTTCTACGAGATGTTATTTGCCAGGATAGGTGAGTAGTAGATGGACGACACTTCGGCTGATTATACTACGTTGGATGGGTTGGCACTACTTGGTATTCGAGAGACAGAGGCAGATGGGTCAGCCCCAGGTGCTCGACTGCAAGTACCCGCCCCAGTGACTCCAGCAAGTTCCGTGAAGCCTCGCGTTCTCATTTCACAGCATTAACTGTTTGGTCTCAAAGCCCCTTGCAAGGTCAATGATTCCGTGAGACTTCACCTCTGTGTAACACAGGCAAATCCCAACAGGACTGGTGTGTGGGCGCTTGTGTGTCCTTTTCCTTAATCTTAGCACTTGACTCTTGACTCTTCATGCATTTAGAGCCAAAGCCAATTAACTCAGTGAGCCAAATTGTAGTCTTTATACAGAAGGAGCCCAGAAAGAAGTTTAGTATCAGTTCTGTGTTTATTCTCTTTGAAGATCTCTTTAACAAATCATAAAATTATGAACATAGCAAAAAAGTTAAGTGGGTGGTTTCCCGAGAGCCGCAAAGCTGCAGGACTAGGAGAACTGGGTTCGTTGAACGAGCTGTCTGCCTTCAGCGCTGTAACACTCATTTCTCTCTTTTATGTCTGCTACAGCTGCAGACTTATTGGCAAAGTAGAATGATAAAACTTATCTTTGGAGGGCTTGCCATACCTGACATTTCACGATAGGTCGGCTGCACTTCCTGTCCATCGCCAATGAGCACCTCCCAGTCTCCATTCCCAGAGCCAGATACAAAGCCCAGAATAAGCCACGAGTTTGGGACAGGAGGTGTCTGCAGGGTCAGGCATCCCTAAGCAAGTGTCACGGTGCCACTACGATAAGGAATTCATTTATAACAGGACTCCTCTCTCCCAGCTACGTAGGATTGGAGAGAATCCCTCTTTTCACATTTATAGACACACCCACAGCAACTGGATGGCCATTTTTTGAACATGTGGTAAATAATATAGCTTTATAGTGGATCTAGAACTAGGGAATCCCCAAAGAGAGCCCACTCAAATATCTCACCGAAAGATATGATTGTGAAGACTTGCAGGCAAATTTTCTACACTTTAGTACTTCTAATACTTCAGAAAATTTTTAAAAATCTAAGCCCTTCTGCATTATTCCAAATAATATTTATGGAATATTTCACAGTTCTCAGAAGAAATAGAGTGATATTAAAGACAGATTCTTTTGGCACACGTGTGCCCCAGTAAGCAGCTAGTGAAGTTTTGTGCAAGGCAGGAAACGTGCAGAGCATCCCCCGGATTCTCCTTGGTCACGCACCAGGCAGCGTGAAGTGAGGCCTCCTGAAGCTTTATGCACCTTCTTTATTCCCTAAACTCTATTCCCTTCAAGAAAAGGGAAAGAGCACTTGAGAAAATTATAATCTTTTAAACTCATGTGTATAATCTATTGGAATTCTTATTAGAAATTCGCTTTTATTAGCAGGTTCAATTAAAGGGACTGAAGTTTGACACTTTTCTCTGTTGTCTCTAATGCAAAATTCACTTGCCCTGCCATCAACATGGAACTTTTTTAAAGATTTTATTTTTATTTATTTGACAGAGAGAGAGACAGCAAGAGAGAGAACACAAGCAGGGGGAGTGGGTGAGGGAGAAGCAGGCTTCCCGCCGATCAGGGAGCCCGATGCGGGGCTCGATCCCAGGACCCTGGGATCATGACCAGAGCCAAAGGCAGATGCTTAACTGACTGAGCCACCCAGGCACCCAATATGGGACTTTTTGTGACTATCAAAATTCATTTTAAAATTCATCTTAGGATATTTTTTTCCAAAGATGCTGGAGAATAACACCTATCCTTCATGACGAGAACTGTGAGGGACAGCCATTATCTCGAACACTGTGGACCGAGATTTAAGCTGAATCTCAGAAGTCATATTAGAAAAAGAAGAAAGAGGGGCGCCTGGGTGGCTCAGTCGTTAAGTGTCTGCCTTTGGCTCAAGTCATGATCCCAGGGTCCTGGGATCGAGCCCCGCATCGGGCTTTTGCTCCATGAGAAGCCTGCTTCTCCCTCTCCCACTCCCCCTGCTTGTGTTCCCTCTCTCGGTGTCTCTCTCTCTGTCAAATAAATAAAATCTTTAAAAAAAAAAAAGAAGAAGAAAGAGAGTGCTGGAAGCTTTGTGTATGATTTGAACATGACTCATTTCTTTGTCAGTCTGATTTGTCAGGTGAAGAATAATTAGTTCGGTCCTCAAGAAGGGAAGTCTAGTTTGAGTAAAGCCAGCCTGAACTCTGGTGGACTGGATATGAAAGAACGTAAGCGCTAGGAGATTGGCTCAGGCTAAGGAGGATGCAGCCTCTGCGTATTTACACTTCCTACACGTTAGAAATGCTTAAAATTCAAGTGCAGTGCAATACAAGTAAATTTCTGAGACTATTTAATTTCATCTATCCAGTTCAAACAACTCTGACAGAATACCCAATCCTGAGACCATATTCCTCCAGACAAAGGAGCCCACAGGGGTGTGCATGTGGGTAAATACCTAATACCTACAGGAGTAGCAGATTTTTCTGTCTGGGTTCATTCAGGATTTTAGAGCTGAACCTATGCCAGATTTGTGAGCATTTTTTAAATGACACTAGTGATCTTTAGGAACAGATTCTATTTTAAGCTAAGAGCCTCAATTTAAACACCTAAAATACCTTTGCTAACATAACTCAGAACTCCACTGCCCCCTCAGCACCACCAATGACCCCCACACTTCCCTGGGTAGTAAATGATGAAAATGTTGAAACTTGCTGCTGCTGGATCATGAAAACTCTATTCATTGTAAGATATTCTAAAGGAACAAGAGGGGGAAAAAAGGTTCCCACACCTCTTGGTGCCCTTCTCTGCAACGGAGAGGCCATAAGCAGAAACTCAGCTCCATTCCTACCACGCATAATGAAGATAAAGCATCGTAACAGGTCCCCACCAACCATAATTCCTCCACATATGCTTTTTTTTTTCCCCTCCTATGAAAAGGAGCATTAGCAAAAATTTTGGTAGAGGAAATCCTTTTTGCCTATGCAAAGGCATCCTATTCTGCTTATAATAAAATCTTAACGTGTCCTATTGAACTTGTTCGGCCTACAAGCGTCATTAGGAATGTCCGTTGTATATTCAAGCAGCTTATATGTGACAATGTTTGTAAATAAGGGCCTATGTGTCAAGGGATATTATTAATTACTAAAAATATATGTGATAATGTGAGTTTTGTATCAACTACTGCATTTATAAGTATAGTGAAGCACAGGGTATGAAGAAAAATAAAAAATAAATTCTCCTATTGGCTTGCAATGTGGCGATACATAGAATAATCATTTAGAAATTGTCCAGTGAGTAGTTACAATTACTAGATCCATTTCTTAATTAAGAATGACTCTTAACACACTGGGTCTCTAGCCACTGGTCAATGTGGCTTAAATAATATTATCACATATTCTAAGTGGATAGGTCCAAAATGAAACTCTGAAATAAAAACGTTTGGCCCCAGAGACCAATGCTGTGCACCACTCAGTATTCAACTATACATATGACGACATTCTCTGGATTACGGTCCTACCAAAATAGAAATTCAAAGCCGTCCCCAGGGAAAACACACACACACACACACACACACACACACACACACACACACACACGCACAGGCAGGTGCCTCCTCCCCTTCTCTTACCCAGCCCTTGGCACCTTTCTCTGCAGGTCACTGTTCTGGGGGAAAGTTAGACTCCCATGATTCGAACCTTCCTTGTCCTCTTCCCTCCCGTACCAAGCACAATTACCTGTTCCATGGCCTGGTCTCTTGAGGCCACCTGTCTGAAGCTAGCTAGATAATATCCCTACTTTGAACCATCAATGGCCTTCATTGCCTTTGCTCATTCAACAAACATTCACTGAGCATCTACTAGGTGCAGGTATTACTCCAGGTGTCAGGGATAAAGCAATGGACCAGTCAAATCCATCCCTCCATCTAGTGAGGGAAGAGAGAAATAAGAAGCAAAAAGTCTAGCATGATCAAGGATGGTAAATACGAAGGAGAAAAATCAAACACGGGGCGGGGGGGTGGTATACGGTTCTGGAGAGAAGGGTGCAAGCGTCTCAGACCAAGACTGCAATGTCTCAGAGTTCAGAGTCGGCAAACATCTGCATCTGAACACTTTTAAGCACTTAATATTCCCACCAAATTACCCTAAAATAAAAAATAAAGCTTTGTAGTAGAATGTAGGTAATTATTTATATGTTCTTTTTAATTTAAATTCAAAATAGTCTATCCTACCCTAAAAAAACAAATGAAATCCCACTGGTATAAAAGAAAGTGAAGCAATTTTAGAAAACTCTAGAAACCCATTCTTCTCTTAAATGGCTCTCTGTCCATCAAAACGAGATAGTAGGAGGGTGGTTAAAAATATAACTTTACTTGTTGAGTAGAAAGCATGATACTTTTTAAGACTCTAGAGTGGTAAGACAAATCCAAGTCATTGTGGTAAGACAAAAAAGGTAAGCACGGAGCCCATGTACTCTGAGTTACTGAGAGAAGGGGCGATGCGGAAGGGTGATGACAAGATAACATTCCAAGACCAAAACAGCTTCCCTTTTTTATTAATGCTCAAGAATTGAACTGTGAATGACATTTAGTAAGCAAAACACAAATGAAAACACCTCATTTGTATGTATAGTATATGTAAACATATACATTATATGGATTTAATGATCCTAATCTAAACATGAGAACAATTGTTTCCCTGACCTTAGAGTTGGCATTACTGTTTCTTACAGTGTTTCATATTTAACAGAATTATGGACACCCAAGTTCAAAGTAATCATGAATTCCATATTAAGGTATAAATAGAGTTTTAAAGAAATAAGCTGTATAATAAAATAAGTTTACTTTTGAATTGCAATACAGGCATTTTCTTCAATCAATAAAAATATTCCTTGATTATAAAGCCATATTTTGCAAATGTATATCAGGAAAATAGCTCTGGCAATATTTGAAATACCACACTTCTTTTTAAAAAGGCAGCAAAGCAACAGAATTTAGATTTTAAATAGTATATTGCAAAATAGTTCAACATATTATTTCTAAGCACAAAGCGAGCTCCATTCTAAAGGATACTTTTAATCTTATAAACTGTTTCAATATTTCTATGTAGTTTAAAGGCTACATATCTACAATAAAAGATAAATCTTTACACATATAGGACATAAATGTCAATACATATCCACAACACAAACGTTTTACATTATATCACTCTATTTTGAAGCCCAGTTTGTTAACATGTGCTCAAAAAGAAATACAAAAACATGATACAATTCTGTAGCTTTGTAACAGGCTGAATTTTGCAACAACTGAAAACATAAAAACAGCAAAGGTAGCAAACACAACACCAGTTTTATGAATAGGACCAAAAACATCGAGAAATCATAAACATTTAAGTAACTATTATATTTTTCCTAACACATCTTAATTTACTCTCTTCTCTTAAATATAATTTTTCTAAATGTTTTTCATATCCCAGGAAGAAATAATGGCAAATTCTCCACAAAGATGAAAGTGCATTGTTTTAAAAGTGCTTCGTGTGTGTGTTTTATAGGTATGTCCAATAAGGAATTAGACAAGTCTGTGCAAAAAATTCCAATTATGACTTGAATTCATAAACCTAATGGTGGGGTTTTGTAGTTCATTCAGATGAGGCAATTGCCAACACAGAAGAAAAATCTGTGATTACATACTTTGTATAGAGGAAAGAGCATGAGCCACAGGTCAGGAGACCCCCATTCTATTCTGAGCTCTGTTAATCAGCTAGTTAGAGACTCCAGGTAAAAGAACTGCTCTAGAACTTCCATTTCTCTATCTGGCAATAGCTGAGAGGCTCAGCAGAAGAGCCTCGAAGGCCCATTTGACTCTAGAGTTTTAATGTATCTCTAGATGAGGCATTCCTGAAAGGGCAAATCATTTCCAAAAAAAACATGAAAAATACACTAATCATAAGCTGCTCTTCTTATTAGTACAGAAAGAAAAACTCCAAAAATACTTGACAGAAAAAAGTATGTGAAGGTCATATGTTAACCAAAGCCGGTGAAAACTCTCACGGATGACAGCCTACGAAAAATCCAGTATTATGTGCAAAAATGAAACCGAGTAAGCAACGTCAGTTGGTTACCTAATGGCACATTTTTTTTCCCTAAGTCTCAGAATTTCCTTGGCTCTAAAGCTTTAAAAGCTCTTAAAAATGCTTATTTTGAACTTGTTTTAAGAGAACCATGGTTGCCATGGTTCAGATTTCTAGCTTTCTAAAGGAGTCTCTCTGAATTGTTATAATGGTTTTTCTTAAGGAAGACAGCTCTATTTTCAAACCTAAAATAATGGCTAAATAAACCACTGGCCATGGCCTCTTTATGCCTGTATGTGAGCTCACTGAATATGTTAGAAGTTTACCTCAACGATTCTCATCCACAAGCTTTGACCCATTTATTCCCCGATAGGTTACTCTGCTGGGCCTGACTAAGACTCCGTGGTTTGGCTTACAGGTAAAGTAGCGCGTGTCCCCCACGGCTCCGTCGTTCTTCCCCTTGGCACCTCGAAGCTCAAGTCCAAGCCAGATTCCAGAGGCAAAGTCCGTGGGGCCCACATACCTAACGGTCCCCATCTCATTGGAGCTGGTGAGGAGGACCTGGGACCCCTCGTGCAGCTTCACGCTCCCTTCCCCGCTCCCAGCGGAGGTGGTGCGGCCCCGGCCGCGGCGCAGGGCAGGTCTCGGGCTGGCGGAGGGAGAGCAAGGGGACCGCTTCAGCAGGAAAGCAACACAAGCCATCTGTCAGCTCCCTTCCCACCGCCACCGGCACAATTCAGTCGCAAAACAAAATACTCTCTGTTCACACCCTGATTGCTTTTATTCGAAAGAGCCACATTAGGATATACTTTTGTTCAACATTTGAAACATTTTTCTCTCTTGGCTATTTTAATAGTACCCTGATCTGGATTTAAGATTTCACTAGCAATTTCTAAATACACACACACACATTTTTACTTTCTGTAAAAATAGCCACTAGAAAAAAATACACTTACAACTTGTTTAACTGCACTCAATTATCAAAGCAAAAAAAGAAAGAAGAGAATGTAGCATTAGGGCTATGGTAAATTAAAATGACCTTTTGTTCACTCTTTGAACATTGATTTACCTGAAAAACAATGTTTAGAAACTGCTCGTCTATAACTTTATAAAATAAATTTATATCTATCTTCTATGAATGAACTCCAGCCACACTTCATGGTTTACCACCCTCCCTGTCACTAACAGTAAGGAGGGTCTTAGTTTCCAGGCGCAGGACTCCTCTCCTTTTCTCTACAAAACGTTATTTATAATGAACCGCGTCCTGGCGCCCGCCGCCAACCTGACCTGATAGCAAAACTACTGAGCACTCACGCAGGGATTTCATCCAAGGCCTCAAGACAATACTGTCCCTAGCACCCTCCACTGTCACTGCGAAGTCACTGAGCCTGGAACTCACACTAGAAACATCACCAGGTTCTTGCTGCCCTACATGACCCGAGACTTCCCCAAACCACCACCACGGGAGCCTTGCATGCTCCATCTGCGTACCACCTCTCCTCCAAAACAAAACCTTCTCCCCGTCCCCACTGTAGAGACAAGGCAGAACCTGTTACCAAAACTGCATGGTGCCTGGAAGAAGCTGCGTCCTCCTGATTCTCTATTTCATTTCACTGTCTATATTTCCTAAAACACTATCACACACAACATTGCATTTCCTTCCATTAACAACTCTGTAAGAAAGGAAGACCACTCTAATTTCATGGGTAAGAAAACTGAGGTCCAAAGATTGGTCCCAAGCCACATTTGCCAACACGTGATAGAATTCTAGTTAGAAAATATAATGGAAAAACGTATCATTTATTACAAACGTACACATACAATGATAAGGTTAACAAAGAATACATAACACCTGTTGGGAAAAGTACAAACCTTTACTGAAGAACATACAAAAGAAAAATATACAAGCTTTGCTTCTGGATAGAAACATATATGTGTCAATTCTCCCTAAATTCACCCCTCAGAGGGATATTTGCAACCTCACAAAATCAGTCTAAACTCCACATAAAAATGATGCCGTGTATCATTTCCTGAGCACCTACTACGTGCCCGGCACTTTCCATCCACTATCTTATCCAACCTCACCCAAGCCACTGCCGTAGATATTACCTCCCTTCAAACAGAAGAGGAATTTGAGGACCAAAAAAAGTTAAGCTATTTGCCTATGGTCGGAGGTACGGTGAAGAGGACAGATGGGGCTCCCGTGCAAGGTGGTGCGAGCACAAAGGCCAGGCGCTTACAGCCACAGATGGGTATTAGTAATTAACACAAAACTGAAAAATAACACAGCGAAGATTTACATTGCCAGCACATTAAACTCTAAAGTTACTATAACTAAAACAATGGGGCTCTGGCACAAGAATGTACTTCTACATGACACAGAAAAGATACCTTAGAGAAATACACATAATTTCTTATGTGATTAAAAAGGAAAACTTCAAATGAGTAGGGACAGGAGTGAACATTCAACTAGGAGTGCTGTAAAAATCATCTGGGGGGAAAGAATATGATTCTTACCACTCACTGTATGTTAAAATAATTTCCAAATAAATTAAACAGCTAAATACATACATTAGAAAACAGGAAAGAACCAGAAGGAAATAGTGCTGGATATCTGCCTGAACAGACACACACACACACACACACACACACACACACACACGGGAAGGGAGGGAAACAGATAATGAATGCAAAGTCTAGCATCTACTATTAGTTAAATTATGATTTTTTTTCACCTATTATTATGCCATAAAAACGTTTCCATATCACAGGACAGTCTTTTAAAATACTGCAAAAGCCACACTGAGGAAAACTGTTAAAGAATACAGGATTTATTAAGGGAAAAACTTTCAAAGGGTATGGAGAATCTGATTTGTCCATCTTGGTTTAAAATTCAGATACACACTTTAGGAAAAAAATTAGGAAAGTATATACCAAAACAGAAGTGATCATTTCATCTAGGTGATAAAAATTACAGATGATCTTTATCTGCACTTAGTTTTTTATAATTTTTCAAATTTTGTACAATCAACTTTCATAATCAAAAAAGTTTTAAGAGAAATAAACTAGTAATAAATGAATTCAAGATCTAAACCAAAAACTCATGGTTTGGGTGAAGAGTTAACATTCTAATAAGAATGATCTGATTCAAGTTACGTCTAAAAGCTCAGGGAAGTGAGAAACTTGGAATTACAAGTACATTTCAGAGCTACTCATTCAAAAACATTAACTAACCACCTATGAAATGGCAGGCCCAGGGCTAGGTTCTAGATTTGCGCATAATAATCAGTAAAATGTCATCAATACCAAAATACAGACTGTGTGCGGTGCAGAAGGAGCACAGAAAGAGGAAGAAGTCTATCCTCCCTTAAGGGCCAGGGAAGATCCTTCAGTGAGGAAGTGACCTGTAAGCCTCACTGGTGAGGCTATCCCCACGAGACCAAAGTCAGGGGCACAGACAGGAGCCGTGCATGCAGGCGGGCCTTTAGATGCCGTGCCAATGAATCTGGATTTCATCGTGTGTTTGACAATCGAGAAGCTTCAAGGCACAGGCAGTGAATGCAAATGGATGATGTGACATAATGGAACATGCAGCAAACAGGATTCTGTGAGTTCTGCCTAAAGACATTCAAATTTGAGCTGACCACACAAACCGTGTCAACAGGCTGGATCCCACAGACGGGATGTGCCGTGACAGCACGGAGAGGAGCTGAGAGGAGCTGGCAGGACCAGGCTGCGTGTGGTGACAGGACACAGATGCAGGTTGGATGTCAGGCGGGCGAGGATGGACTCCTCGTGACTACCAGATCACTGTGGTGCAGGGTTCAAATCCCAAGCCCCCTTCCTCTCTAGCCCTATTCTTGGCATTTGATACACACAGAATTCTGAAAACACGAGAACTGCGTCAAGCCCCTTGCCATCATGTTGTCCTCTGAATGAAATGCGTTCATCACTGTCATTTCGACAAATGACACAGAAAGCCAGATCCTGCCCCCCTGTCCTCACGTCCTCTCTCATGTGGGGCAGGCACGTCCTTTACACAAACGCTTCAAGTTTCCTCCCCAGGAATTTTCATACCACTGCGTTTTCCATGTTTCTTCTGGAAGTATCATTTATTCCCATATGAATAAACAAGAAAATGGTAGTGTGTGGGGAATCTCAGTGAATTCATTTTTCAACCCAGTCCTCAGAATCCATCATGCTTCCGGCCTGGTCACAGCACAGTACCCGATCCCCTCTGTGCCATCGGCAGAAGGCCAGCCGTCACTCCCATGTCTCCCCTAGCCCAAGGTCACAGGCAGCTCTCCTACTACCTGCCAACACCCAAAGTCTTCCTCTTGTTCCTTAGAACAGTGTCCACCAAACATTTCAGTCCCGTACTCTATAAGCAAACATCAATTATTTTTAAAATTGATTTTATACCCTCAATGAGAGGTTTTTTTTAAACAGGTACTAGTCTCAATCTGTAAAAGTATCAGTAAAGCTTCATTTCTTTTGACTTTTATAGAAAATAGAAGGTCCTCACATTTTCCCTCATGTCAGCAGATGATCTTGTGTCTACCCCTACCTGTGGTGTAATTCCCATGGTTCAGATTTCTTGTCCTTCCCTTGGTTCCCTGGACATCGTGTTCCCCTACCCCCATCATCGCACATGGCCTTTGACACTGCCCTTAACCCCGGGGCCTTTATATCCCGATGGTCTCTGCCTGGTATTTCTCCTATTCTGCCTAAGAACTCTTGGATATCTTCAAGAAACTGGAGCAGAGAGTCACTGCTCTTAACACACTCAGCCACTCAAGTGAGGAGACCAATTTCAACACTCTCAAAACTGGTGAAAGTTTGAAGGAAAGAAAAAAAAAAAACAAAACCCCCAGCCAACCCTGCTAAACAGTACCTAGCAATGTCTTAGGACAATCAGGGTTGGCAAGTGAAATTTCAGATCCTTGTGACGCCTGGAGTTAACTTCTCAGCAGATTATATAAACCGCCTACCTGTTGCTCAGCTGATTGCCCAGTCCGGTGCCTGGGCTCCGCTTTCTAGTGGCTTCCAGAGTACCACACTTAAGCAAGGACATGTGCTTTCCTGCTCAGCTAGTCCTTTTTTCCTTCCCCACCCACCCCTCCACAGCCGCGGACATTAGCCTTTAGATTAAGTGGAAAAATTTTAAATTAAAAAAAAAAAAAAGAACTCCTTAATCCAATCAATCTAGAAGAGCCTCATACTCCTCTAAAAATAAAAAAGTTGGGGCACCTGGGTGGCTCAGTCGTTAAGCGTCTGCCTTCGGCTCAGGTCATGATCCCAGTGTCCTGGGATCGAGCCCCACATGGGGCTCCCTGCTCCGCGGGAAGCCTGCTTCTCCCTCTCCCACTCCCCCTGCTTGTACTCCCTCTCTCGCTGTGTCTCTCTCTGACAAATAAATAAATAAAATCTTTAAAAATAAATAAATAAATAAAAATAAAAACGTTTCCCAGAGTGTCAGAAAAACATCAGGGGGAATAAAGTGGGTCTGAGGGAAATCAATATAAATGAAAAAGAAAAAAAAATTCTATAAAGAAACAACAACAAAAAAAGCATTTTGAGCAGTATATTCTAAAAGAGGGAGTGGGAGTATTTTTTAAAATAATACTAAAATCACTTTATGCAAACAGACCTGACATTTCTTTCATGTGTTGCTGAAAATATTAAATCAAATCTCTAATTAAAGAGTTTAAAATCAATCCACCCTATTCAATGGTAACATAAAATGTAAATTCCTCCAACTCTTATTAATGGTACTAAACTCTGAAAATATATGCAGCATAACTACTCTTAGTCATTGGTGACATTTTTAATTGAGCTTGCGCAGGAAGGAGGGAAGACTCTTCTCAATACACTCATGACACCTTTTCTCGTAAGTGCTAAAATTCTACCAAGCAATGCAAAAGGTACAAAATCTACTTTCTTCCTTCACAGAATCCTGTCATGTTCATCTTGAAAAGTGTTTTTCTAAATCTTCTTAATACTCACTTGGCAAATGCATTTCTTCTGTTAATCTCTTTTTGGGAAGAAGCAGAAGTCGTACTGAAACTTCTCCTAAAACCTAAATGTCAAAGTTAAGGTCACAAGAGGAAAAATAAATCACAAATTTGCAGTCCTCATTAAAAAGTATCTTTTATCATTTCTTCTATAGGTGTTCTATTCTATCAAATGTTTCTCTGGAAACAGAAAGCAAAGAAAGTTAAGTACATACAGAATATAATAGTGGTTTAGATTTTTTTGACAAATTTTTATCTTACCTTTCTCATCAAACTATGCATATGCAAAAATAAGATCATGACATTCCATTTGGAGGTTTTTATTATAAAATTTCTTGAAAACCAAATAAAACTAAATTAGACACTGATAAAGTTGAATCTTTTTATTCTCAAATATTATAATCTTGGTAAATCATATGAAAGAAAGGATAAAAATGGCTTTAAAAACACTATCACTAGGGCGCCTGGGTGGCTCAGTTGGTTAAGCGACTGCCTTCGGCTCAGGTCATGATCCTGGAGTCCCTGGATCGAGTCCCGCATCAGGCTCGCTGCTCAGCGGGGAGTCTGCTTCTCCCTCTGACCCTCCCCCCTCTCATGCTCTCTCTCTATCTCATTCTCTCTCAAATAAATAAATAAAATCT